GGTCCGGATCTCTGGGGGTAGCTGATTCCAAAGGGTCGGAGCAGCCACAGAGAAGGCTCTCCTCCGGGGGGCCCGCCAGCCGACACTGTCTGGCTGACGGCATCTGAAGGAGGCCCAATCTGTGGGATCTTACTGGCTGCTGGGAGGTATGTGGCAGCAGGCGGTCTCGAAGGTACGCTGGCCCAGTTCTGAAATCTTGCCAAGACGATTGCAGGGACGTTGTCCAAACAGCCTCTGGGAGGGTTGACCGACTCGGAAACACGAATAACTCAGTCATTAGCTTCTCCGCGGCTTCTGAAATCGCTTTTAAAAGGGATTTCTGATCTCTAGAACAAAACCGTTCAATGACACGCTGTGGGAGTGGGATTCTTGTGACCCGGCGTTTCCCCCAAATCACATTTTCAATCGACACCTAAGCCGTTGGTCACGAAACAGAAAATGCCTTGAAATGTCTTTGAATTTGCCTTCCCTTCCCCTATTTCTCCTCCTCAAATACTGACCATTGTGTCTCGGCCACAGATTGAAGAAACTTCCCGGGAAAGAGAAGAGAGACTCAAAGGGTGGCAAGAATTTTTAGGGGATCCCAATCAAGAACTGCCTAAAAAGCCCCCAGATGCCAATTCTTCGGAAAGCGCCCCTCAAGCGCCCAAGAGAGACCCCCCGTCTCAAGACAACGGAGCCGCCGAGGGAACCGCTGAAGACGTCGCGGCGTCCACAGACAGCAGCGTGGCGGGCAGCGACGATGAAGAAGAAGAAGCAGAGACTTAACGCTGCCTCGCCGCTGGTCCGAGAGCATGATTTGCAGGCTCCCCTCGAGACCCCCCCCCTCCTCCTCCTCCTTCCCCGATGCAAAAGTTGCGCAAGCTCCACTCCCAATCAATGAATATAAATAAATATATATATATATGTATGTATATGCGCGCACGTTTCCTTGTTAGGATATCACCAACGTGCTTTTGAGGTATTGCATTGAAAAGCAGTATTTAGTTTGTGTGTGTGTGTATGTGTGTGTGTGTGTGTATAGATATAGATATATATATATATATTCATATATATTCATGTATGGCTGCGACTGAAGCTGCGTATGTGTCTTAAGTTGCCAAGAATCCTGCTGAACTGACAGCCGTCTTAAATCCCACCATTGCTTGTCGGCGTTCAGAGCCCATCCGCGGGCGAAGTAACGAACGGCACCGTAAATCTCTACAGACACCCCCCAGATTTGAACGCTTTCCCCCTGTTTTTGCTCCGATGCCAGCCAGTCATATCCCTCCCTGTACGATACCAATTCTTGCCTGCAGTGGATTTCACCAGCATGGGCTTGGAATAGCTGGTTTTCCTGATAACTAATTGATTTGTTTTTTTTAATTAAAGTAGCNAGGGTTAGGATTAGGATTAGGTTTAGGGGTTAATTTTAGGTTTAGTGTTTACAGCGTACTTCTGTCTCCGCGCTGTTGTCGCACTGTGATGACGTCAGCTACGCGGTTTCGTCGAGCGCCCTTTAGTCGAACACGGTGTTGTGGTGGAACCGGAAATTCCTCCACCTCTGATTTCAGAAGCCCCCGGTTAATTTCTTTCTTTTTTCCCCAACCACACTTTTTATAGAAACTGAAGCGATCCTCAACCCCTCAACCTCTTAAATGTTGCTTCATTTCATTAGACTGCTGGATTGGCGGCCGGAGAAGAAGGAGGGGAGTGTGAGATTGCGATACGAGAGGGTTATCATCATCAGAAACATGTTTCATCCCAAAGATTTTGAGGTAGGTTAAAAAAAAATGGCCCAACAGGAGTTTCATAAACTCATAATTCCTCCTGAGAAAAGGATCGCCTCTCAAAGACGACGGCTGAAGTTGGCCTCGTCACAAGCCGAGATATGTTTGTGGCATAATAGGGACAGCTAAAGTTAGAAAGATCGTTCCATTTTTAGGCTGTTTCTGGTTGAGGCGGTTGGGACGATCCTATCCAGCAATTTAATTTGCTCCTCCTGTATTTGAAGGCACAACGTTAACCTCCAGTGGGACATAACTCCAAACGTATTTAGCAGTAGCGTTTAGACTTATATACGAATGGTGCGGTGGCCTAGAGGTGCAGCGCTCACCTCACGATCAGGAGGCTGTGAGTTCGATCCCAGGTAGAGGCAGATATTTCTCTCCATGGGCACGCAGAGAATATATCTGCTGAATAAAACCCCGCTCTGGCAACAGGAAGGGCATCTGGCCATTAAAACACTCTGCAGTCTTCATTCAGTTGGCCGGATTCCAACCTACGGGGTCGTTAAGATGATTTAGACTTATATACCTTCCCTTAAGCGCTTTATAACGCACCCTGGGTGGCTTGCAGTGTAAATGATTATTTGCACATTGCCCCCAACAATCTGGCTCCTCGTTTTATGACCTCGGAAGAATGGAAGGGCTGAATCGACCTTGAGCCAATCGGGATCGAACTCCAGGCGGTGGGCAGAGTTTGCCTGCAATGCCGCAGTTTAACCATCGTGTGCCACCAGAGAGCTCCTTAATCTGTTTAGGGATTTAAGGATTGGGAGTCATGGGGCCCGTAGTCCCAACCTGCCTGAAGTTTGCAAAGTTTCCTAGTCCTGAGACAAGCCCACTCGGTTTCCGTTATAGGATCGGTTAAACAGCTTTACAGGATGACGTTTTCTGTCCAATCCGCGCTTTTGAGCCTTGATGAAAACAGAGATCAACAAGCTTTTGAACAGCACGCAGCAAAATAATCCAGACAAGATTGGCCGGTGTCTCATTTGACTTGTCCTGTGAAAAGCTTTTGCCTTCTGAAAGTGTCGGATGCGGTTTTTAAAAATACGCTTTAAAATGTCTTTCCAGGAGGATCCCTTAGTGCTAAATGAAATCCGGGAAGATCTACGGTCTGAATGTGAAAAATTCGGTCAAGTAAAGAAAGTCCTTATATTTGACGTACGTATCAGAAACTCTCACTCCTTTCGCCTTGCACTGTTGAAACATCCTTCTAAAAAAAAGCACTCAGTAATTACCCCCACCAGTCGGGCTCCATTGGTGGAATCGTTCAGTTTTGCTTGACGAAGAACTGACTTATTTTAAAATTCTATCCCAAAGTTCCATTATTCCACGCGTCATTGGAACACGGCTGAGGCTTTAGAGAAAGCATTGCGTCTGTGCGGGGGGAGCCTTGGGGCAGCAGCCGCATTTTTAAAATTAAAATTGGACGTTTTAAAACATGCTGCATTTGACAGTTGAAAGGATTGAATCAGATGATTTAATCCAGGGATTGTCAACCTTTTTTATACCTACCGCCCACTTTTGTATCTCTTGTTAGTAAAATTTTCTAACCGCCCACCGGTTCCACAGTGATGGTGATTTATAAAGTAGGGAAGT